ATGCAGTTCGTTACACAGTAATCAAAAGGATAACAAATCAGTAAAATGTCATAACTGTCATAAATTTAAATGCTTTAATTTACGCCTTCAGCAATGGGCGTGGGGAAGATCTATTACCGAAATCCCAGCCGCCTCTGCAGACCTATGAGTGCACTTACACAAATAATGCTGTCAGCCCCTACTCCAGCTAACGTCACTCATGCCGTTAGCTGTCCGCATCTGCTCCACCCCACACTGGAGCTTACAGCCACCCTCAGCTATACTAGCATCGCTATTTATTTAACTAACCTGCAAACTGGGAAATGCACCGGAGTTTTAAAGAAAGCCTGCAGAGGGGGATTTCCTGTCTGGCATCCAAAATCATCTCACAAATCCCAGAAACATAGAAGGAAGAGAACGAGGAAAGCTCTCAGTTTGGTAAGGAGGAGGTGCATGGAGGCAGACATTTTGGTTTACTAATACTAATGCTGTTTAGCTAATTGGCTTTGCTGCTAGACTGGGTGGAAGTAGACAATAGGGCTAAGGGACCTGTTTTGTTTGATTGTCTCCGAATAACAACTTATAACTACTAAAATGGATTGATTTCCAGGCTGCTTCTGCTTGCAGGACTCCTCGCAGTAAACAGCCAGTCATCATCAGGAAACAGATGAAAATAGGATGTGGGGAGAGAATAGAAGTGTATCACAGGAGAGCCGCCCTACAGCAAGGCCGTGGGAAGAACAGGAAAAAGACACACAGATCCTAGGGAGAGCCTTTTACAAGCACAGCTCCCAATAAATATCTACCTTCACCTCTTGGGCAATGTGGCCCAGGTAGTAATAGCCATCAGCTTCTCTCCTTGCCAACACACGAGCCCCCCTCATGAAACTGGAAGCCTCTGAGGATGAATCAATGAAATTCCTTTTCGCTGAGGATATCAAGGGCGTACAAAGGGAATCTGGGTTCCATGCACAAACAGGAATGCTGTAGAGAACAAAAATACAAGAAGTAATGAAGACCCTGGCAACAGAACTTCTGCAACTTGCTGCAATGAAAACAAATTAAATCCACATGGGACTCCCACCCCACCACCCCGCAATAATTGTCTTTGTTTCCTAGCTTTTTTCTTCTTTGCATTTCCAGCGACCCATCTATAGATTTTGAACTTACTGTGTTACTGGACATCTTGGCAGCAGAGAGCCACAGGGATCTTTGTTAGCTGTGTGACAACACTGGACATCTGAGATGGACATGGAGCTTACCTGGAGAGGGGAAGGAGGAGATGGAAGCAGAAGATGAGCATGATTTTTGAACATTTAAATCCTTAAACATGAATATTATTTATAAAATTGAAATTTACTTTCCAGTATATTAATTCTCTCTTTAATACTTCCATCATATCTTCTGGTGCTATGCTGTATATCTGTAAGCTCATCACAAACGGTTTTGATTTTAAGAAATCGAGCTTGGAAAGAAAAAAATACAAAAATATAAGAACTGTATGATAAAAAAACCCCTTGTGTTTCACCTGCCTTCTATTCAGCTGCTAGATATGTAGCAGGTGTATCACTGTTTCTTCAATCATGATGAGATTTCTTCTTCAAAGGACAACGTGTCATTTCAAGTATACACAAAGCTACAGCGGATATCCATTTTGGCCCATCTCAGATCCTATCATCATTTTATTCTACTGTGAAGGAAGCACTAAGCGTGTGATTTTAAATCAGAACAGTTTTCCTTTCTTATAATTCTTAACGCCTTTTAGTTAATTGATTTTAGTGAAGAGCTTTGAACCTGGAAAACCCACCAATTTCTCAGGACAAGGCACAGCTTGGAGATCGGCAGGGGAATAGAGGTTCTGGAGCTGCCTCTCCCATCCCCAGGAGCAACGCAGGCATATCAACCCTGCTGGCTGCCGCCCAGTCAGTCTGCCCCGGGCTCTCAAACAGTAGCTTATGGGCAGCCAGCGGTCCCGTGTGCATTGCCTCCTCTTGTACCCTGCTTCTTACGCAGCTATCCAAACTCTCCAAGCAAGGAAGAGCTGTAAGATCAATGAAAGGAGCTGAGGTCAAGGAAGAATGGAGAAGGTGGGGATTGAGTCTAGAAGACAAAGTTGCCTTTGCAGGGCAAAGCCAGCAGTGGAGCCACCTGGCCTGAGCAGGATGGAAAATGTGAAATGTTTGAGAACAATGACACAGGGAACAATATGCCAGGGACTATGAGAAGGGAGAAGGACAAAATGCAAGGGAGTTGGGAGGTGGCGTCAACAACGAAACTATGAACCTTATATTGAAGCATTCAGCTTTTACGGAAAAAGAGAAACTCGCGTTGCATTAATCGTGTGTTAAGTAAAAACAATGGTTGAATAGTTTGCCGCTATTCCCTGTAAACTGTTGCTGAAAATGCGTTAGGGCTGTTACGAGACTCAGAAGAGCAGGTGACTTAAAATCCCTTAACTACAAGGATGGGTAGACATGTAAAACCTATGCTGTTTCAGCTGAGGAATTCAGCTGTTTGGGATGTTGACAGATTTAGAAGATATTGTTGTTTATTTAAAAGACAGCATTCGACCACCCCCACCTAAGAGTAAAACAACATTGGAGTCTGTGAATCAGGATGCACTGGCTGTAGGCAAAGCTGTACAGTCACCTAGCAAAGAAAGTGTAAAATCACAGTAAGGCATTTGTTCTCTCCTTCACCTGTCAGAGACACCTGTTTTCGAGTGCTGGTCTGTGAAGTTCAGGGAAATCACTTTACAGGGCGAGTCTTCCCCTGCAAAAGTAAATGGAGCTAGACCAAGATACACCCAAATTTGACCCCAAGTGTTGGCGATGATGCCTTTTGCTCAGGGGCTACGTGAAGTGCTCTTTCCTCACAAGCAGAGATTGAAGGCACAAGTAATGTACAATTAGAAGTGTGGATATGCCAGCTTGGGATATCAGGTATAGCCTGTCCCAGAGATGCCAAACCTATTTTAAATCTTTGTCCACAGACTGCTTCCAATAAAGAGTCAGGAGGAACTAATTAGTACGCACTAATCTTATATTAGTGGTATACCTTTTCAGAAGCAGTAGGGGGGAGTCTGATCGCTTGAAAGGACCCCCCTGATTGCCTGGCTACTTTCTCCATTATTTTTTGCTCGCTTCTTCCATGATCATCTGAATCTCCCAGAAGGCATACAACATGTAAGAAAGCAAGAAACAAAGACAGACAGAAAGAAAGACAGACAGAAAGAAAGACAGACAGAAAGAAAGACAGACAGAAAGAAAGACAGACAGAAAGAAAGACAGACAGAAAGAAAGACAGACAGAAAGACAGAAAGACAGACAGAAAGACAGACAGAAAGAAAGACAGACAGAAGGAACACGGCTCACGCCTGCAGCTGTCTGCTAACGCGGGAGAGCCGTGAGATTCTTTATTGGGTATTTCTGTGCTGAGGCGTCCTCCAGCTCGCCCCCCGCAGCCAAGCCGCTCGCAGCATTCGTGCCGTTCTCAAACCGCAGGGATCGAATCCAGGCTGCTGCTTCAGCGACGCTACTGAGCGAACATCTGACTAGGCAGTTGCACCATTTTAACACCTGTTAAAAAGGACAGAAAGACAGACAGAAAGACAGACAGACAGACAGACAGACAGAAAGACGGACAGACAGAAAGACGGACAGACAGAAAGACGGACAGACAGAAAGACGGACAGACAGAAAGACGGACAGACAGAAAGACGGACAGACAGAAAGACGGACAGACAGAAAGACGGACAGACAGAAAGACGGACAGACAGAAAGACGGACAGACAGAAAGACGGACAGACAGAAGGAACAAAAGCCGGCTCACGCCTGCAGCTGTCTGCTAACGCGGGAGAGCCGGGAGATTCTTTATTGG